AGCTCCCAGGCCTCAGCGTCCAGCTTGGTCTTGTAGACGGCGGCGTCCGTGTCGATCTTCAGGCTGGTACACGCCCGCCTCGAGAGTGCTACTTCTCCTTCTCGAAGTAGGCCTTGGCCTCGGCCTCGACCTCGTACGCGTGCACGTAGGCGGCCTGTTGCTAGGCCTCGCGCGCGATGGTGGCCTTGACGACGTCGCTGGCGCGCAGACGTTCCATCTCGGCGGAGGCGCGCTTAATCTGCACCTCGCGCTTGAGGTCTTCGTCCTGAGTTCAGTCCGACGCGTGGCTGCGATGCAGAAGATTTCGACATCGCGATTGAGCTCCGTCTTGCGGGTGACGAGGACGACCTCGGCCGAGACCCACTCGATGTCCAGCTCGGTCTTGCGGACGGCCGTCTCGGCGTGGATATTGAGGATGAGAGTACGAGTAGTTTGAGGGAGCGGGTTGATACGGGGTTTGGGGAATGGGGGCGGTTTGAGACGTTTGAGAATCCCAAGGCTGGGCGGGACGGGAAGTGAGTGGTGGTTCACGGACGAGGATATGGCGCGCCGGCTGGCGACGTACCTCAGGCCGGAACCGAACCTCCAGAGGCGGCATGTCCAGGCGAGTGTGGTGGAGCGGAAGGCTGTCGAGAAGGAAAAGACGGGGTGGGGGCGCTTTGGGCTGGGAGGAAGCCGTAAGAAGGCCGCCGAGCAGACGTCCCCCGCCCTGTCGCCGCCTATCCCCGCCTGCGCTGTCGAGTCCGGGGTCGGTTGACGAGGATGACCAGGTCAAGATGACGGTGAGGGCCGAGGAAGTGACGTTTCGGTGGGAGAACGACTTTGGCGTGTGGGAGGGTATGACAGGGTGGGGAGTTGTGGTCACCGTGAAGATCAAGCCGTGAATATATCCCAGAGAATAACAACGGGGATAAATATGTATTAAGTTTTTGAGCCAGTTTTATATCGGCGATCATTAAAACAAGGAATGCAACTTACTTATAGCCAGAGAACCCTGCTGCCGTTGGTAACGCAGATAACCCTAAATACAAGAACGACTTGTCTTGCGTTCCCTGTTCAACCATGGGTACGACCATGAGGTACCTGACCCATCGTCAATATCAATCCGAAAAGACAAGGCTGCCGGAAAGGTTTTGCAGTAACAGTACATATATATGTCACAAACTCACAGAGGACAATTCCGAGTCCCAGACGTCCTCGGACCCGGACAGCATCCCCGTCGAAGTCTATCAAACCCAATGTCTTGCTCGGTGACGCCCAACCGTGTCATATGAGCCGGGCTGGCCAACATATACGGCTTCAACCCAGTTGGCTCAGTTACGGTGGTAGCCGCTGTCGACACCCTCCAGTCAGCATCACCATGTGACAACATGGATGCAATAGGCGCTTAGCCCGGATTGGCGTATGGGTTTGGTGGAGGACGACAGGGGCCACGCGGAGCAGCCACGAAACGTTTGGTAGCGGAGGGACAAAAGAGCGTCTGTATGTGCAAAGGGAGAGACCGGGAGAGAGAGCTGACATTGAAATGAAAGGGAAGAGCTGTAGGTAGGTTGTGGGGAGTTGCGTCGCCGCGTTGACCTGTCGAAAGCAAGGTTCCTTCCCACTGAGATACCGCATCCTGCCATCTATTCTACCCTCTACCCACCCTGAAGAAGGACCTAACCAAGCACGTAACCCTAAAGATAGCCACTCCAAGCTCCCCGTGAGCTTCACCTAGCGGTACACGGATGTTCGGCGGCGCCGTCGTCGTATCGTCATATCGTCATATTATCCCAGTAGTCTAACCCGCCCACCATTTATCCTCATCCCTCCACAACGGGAACCGACGTCAGGAGGCTGGTCAACAAAAATGTAAACCAAAAACGCAGATACACAAGTCAAGCACACTGTGCCCGGTCTTTGTGTACCGTGCTCTGCCTCAACGCTGATGGTGACCGAGGGTATCCTTGTGCCGCTTCACATTATCTTTCCTTCCCGAATAGCCACAATAGCACCGGTCCTCCTCTTTGGGCAGCCTACGCCTTCTCGCTTCGTCGGGATGGTGCGTCCACATGTGTCGGAAGAGGTCCTTGTTCTCTGCACCGCCTGTGCCGCAGATGTCGCACCTTCGACGTTTGAAATGGTTGTTCTGGTGTTTGCTGGGATGGGAGGGGCATGTCAGCTTCGTTGTGGGGATAGGGATTTCCGATGGGAGTAGAAAGAGGATGGGAAAGTCCGACTCACTCGAGATCGCATTGACGCTCGAAGGCTCTCGTGCAACCGTCTTCATCGCACACGAAAGGCATGTCGGGAGCAGGGGGACCGGACGATGGTCCCGGCTGGCCAGAGCCGCTGTCTAGGGCCCAGTATGACTGGCTTGCCGGATCATAATGGTATTGACCGTACTCGAGAGGTGGTGGGTTGACGTTGACCTGAGCCGCAAGAGGGTCAGTAAAGTCTGGCGGCTGGGCGGCTCCAAAACCAGTCAGGGTGGGCTGGGGGGCGATCGAGGCGTTTTGGTCGGGCCATAGCGTAGGCGTGTCGGTGTTCGGGGCGGTGGGCATGGCGAGATCAGAAAAGTGAGCATCGAAGTCCGGGTTGGCCTCCGTATCGTTGGCATCCCAATCACCCATGTCTCTATGTTGAGGTAGCTAAACACCTGCGGCGAGACTGGAGACCCCTGAGACCGATAAACAAGGGCTCTGCTGGTCCGGCCCCTGGTAAGGCTGTTGGGTGGGGAAAGACCAAGGCGAGGAAGACGGATCTCGGTAAGATACTGGAAACGGCGTACTAACATAATAAGAGGGTTCTGCCAAGGCAACCTCTGAGAAATCCGCGGGGGGGTGTTGCGGAATTAAGAGCCGCGGGTCGATGGTCCCTTGCTCTGGGTTCCAACCCGCGGTAACGGGATTGGATGCTTGAGGAGCCCGAGACCCATGTCTGGGCCTCCCATGAGAGGATGAGTGGGGAGGCATCTTCACTACTTTCTTGACCAGGGTGGTGGGTAGCTATTCTCCGAGTGGCCAGGAGCTTGGGTACCCGACGTGCTTCCCAGGACTGATGCGCCCCTAGACGGCAGTGGCAAAAATCTTAGACGAGTTAGATCTGGCTCAATACGCGTCGGTGACTGGTACTTTACAATAGTCACGGCACAGTGGAGGCAAAGGAGCATACCTTTTTCGATGCCGGGCCAGGCTGGAACAGTCAAACAAACAACAAGAGCGGGACGGCTTGTCTCTCCCCGGTGGCCCTTGGCAACAGGAGCTTCGGATACCAACATGACTGCGAGCACCGCAACTCAAATACAAAGACGCCATCACCTCGCCGATGAGGCCGTAGGCGCCATGTTGGAGGCATTCCCATGAGCGCGGTCTACAGCCTCCAAGGCCCTCGTAAGACTCCTGGAGGCCGATAACGAGGCAATACGACACGCAGCCCCATCTGTGATTCAGGTCTGCAGTGAGGCCTAGGGGCAGTGAGGCCCACGGCAGGTAAGAGCGGATACTAAGCAGGGCTGGGCGCATTGTTTCTGGTTCCGACCAATCGGGAATGTGTTGGGTGCCGACTGCCTCCTGTTTTGCGAAACTCGCCAATGAGGCCCCTGAGTCGAATTCTGCAACAAGTCAGTTTTCACCGAAACCCACCACCAAAATTGAAGTGGTGAGGTCTACAACCAGCTCAGATGGGGGCATATGATGACGTGCGCCGGTTTGTCGTGGCACTTGTCAAGTCACGAGGGGGATAGCTTACCTTAGGCACCTACCTAGGTACCTACCTATTACCCTCGGGTTGTACAGAGGCCGTACATCAGTCCTACCTACCCCCATTACCGACCAAAGAGGAAACCTTAGGAGACAGTTTTCTTTTCTCCTATCATCAAGAGGCTGAACCTCCGCAGCGCTCTATGGCGGGTTTCTCCGTGCGTATGATCTTGAATCATGGTCAGTCCGGGATCGGATCAACTGGAAACCGCCATGGAAGGGTAGGAGGCGGCGTGGCAGAAGCGCGGGCGCGGGAGATTGTGAGCAGTCGCACCTAACCTGGAGGGTGACGTTGACTGTTTGCTCAGGTAGAAGTTGTAACTGCCTCCAATTCCTTCGAGGGTTGCTGCTACCGCTTCCCACATCAAGGGTAGAACCAGTAAATTCCTTTCAATATGCTGAGGCGGAAGCTCTTGAACTCATTTTCACAGCAATCTCAGACCGCCAGGCGCTTGGAGTCATCAAAGTCCATACACCACCTCCGCCAGGCATCAAGAATCAACGCATGAGATAATATCACATTGGAATCCAGGCCGCCTTTCTTCCACGACAATAAACTTATCGCTTCCAGAGCTCTCTACTTCCACGTCCCCAACGGCGATGGCGCCCGCCAGAAGAAGAAAACGACACCACGTGCCACTCCCAGCCCCAAATCCCGAACCAGAGAAACCGCAAATTGAAAGAAGGCTCTTTTACATCGAGCCGGTGTACTAGCGGTGTAGCAAGACCGAATGCAACCCAGATGGTGAGCAGGGGTGGTTGAGGAAAATCGAGGGCTTTAGCGCCTGGCTTCCGCTTGAGGGTGTCGTGAGGAACGATCAGATAGGGAAAACCGCTTGTTATATCTCACCCCATTACCACAGACGATTGAGCTTTACAAGTCTTGGCCAGGGCACCCTGCGGCAATAGCACGAAATACATGTCCCTCACGGCGGTGATGCGGATTATTACGCGTTAACTACCATCAAGGGGGCAATATTTGGTCTTCCCAGAGAAGACCTCCACGAAAGATGCTTGCAACTGCAGCCAGGATCACACAAGTATTCTCTACAGACGCGACAAAACTCCTTTGGGCCTGCTCGGCGGCTTATGCTTCGATCTGCGACGCCTCACACCCACCCGCTGGTCTTGTTGCCGGCATTTTGGGTTCTTATGCCCAATGCCTCTGACCACAAACAACGGAGGTTGCAATAAATGCCACCCTGGTATCACAAGACGGCCATGTAATCGGTGCTTGCTGGTAAACATCTACCACGAGCCCTTGGTTTACTTCCACGACTCGCGCTACGTTGCCCCGAGATGGTTGGGGCGGGTCGGGCATCACAATCTCATGTTGCCCCACGAGTTTCCCGCGTTCTACCCTGAATACGGCCCTCTGGCGGCTCACCTGATCCATCGGGCCGGCTTGGAAGAGACGATGCAGTACGAGACAACAATCAACAGGATCAGTAGATTATTACCTGACAAAACAAAAGACGATTTACCAAAATTACGGACCAGGACGATTGTCGATATCATACGCGCGATGGTCCAGACAATTTCTACCTGTCATTTGAGTGTTTGGGGACCGGGGCGCTCGGAACATTAGCATGAACTAGAGGGATGGGGAAGCTGAAAGAGTCGGGGCCGAGCTTCGATAGTTCATGTCTATGTAATCCTCGAGCGAGTTTGTATTAACTAACTTCTCAGACACCAGCGGTTAGCTATATTTGGTCAGGGATAGAAAGACGGTAGAATGCCCGAATCAAGCGTAATATTTAATCCTTTACCATTATTGCCGTGCAGCCCATCTGTCATGCATCGCCACGGCAGAAATTGATAGGCGCGTAGATTAAGATTGAGCCGAGGGTTGGTGTGGTGATGGTGTGGTGATGGTGTGGTTCTGATGAGTTGATGAGGGGAAGATTTAAACGACTGGGCCCAAAAATTGTGCGCAGAGATTGAAGTGATTGTCGGATGGAAAGGGAGACAAAAAGCAACCCGAGCCAGTATGGTGGTCAGGGGCTCGGGGCTCGAGATGGGTTCATTGGTGCAACTGGTCCGGGATCATGCATATTCCCCTCGTTTGGAATGATGCCAACCTCCTTTACTTAAACAAACCACGACGGAATCAAGCTTTCTTTTCGAAAACGCTGCGCCACTGACGAGTGACGATATGAAGACGGCCGATAATCAGCCCATATCAGAATCCTCAATTACACTCCCGATTGACGAATGTACTGAACCATATTCTGTCTTCTCGCCATGGCAACAAAACACCATCATCGGCTTGGCGGCCCTCGGCGGTTGGTTCTCAAGCATCAGCAGCTTTATTTATTTCCCTGCTATCCCTTTCCTCGCAGCCGATCTTGATGTGAGCGTCCAACAGGTCAATTTGACCGTCACATCTTACCTCATCATGTCCGGCATCTTCCCATCTATCATGGGCGATGCCGCTGATCGATTCGGGCGACGCCCGGTGTTCTTGGTGGCCTTAGCCGTCTATTTTGGCGCAAACATTGGTCTTGCTTTACAATCACATTTTGTTTTACTCTTTGTGCTTCGAATGCTACAGAGTGCCGGCATCTCGGGCACCTTTTCCATCGCCTATGGGGTGCTTGGGGATTTGTTTACGCCTGCTGAGCGAGGGGGCTACTCTGGCATCATTTCGTTCTTGTACGTCGCCCGCCCGATGTTCAAGAGATCATAACCGCTAAACAAACTTGTATTCGCAGCCTCAACACCCCCCCAAGCCTGGGTCCAGTTATCAGCGGTCTGCTCCTGCTTCGTTGGACCTGGCGATCTATCTTCTGGCTCCTCACTGCGGCATCCGGGCTCTGCCTAATCACGATGGCCCTCTTCCTACCGGAAACAGCCCGAAGCATTGTTGCTAATGGAAGTCGCTCGGCAAAAGGCATCAACAAGCCCCTGGTCCCTCTTGTTGCGCCGAACGAGGAGCGAGTGGTCGACAGTACCTCTGAAGTCCTAACGCGGGAAGAACGCCGAAAGATCCCGAATCCACTGACCGCCCTTAAACTGCTTCGAAATCCCAGCACTGCCATAGTTCTGGTTGCATACGGAATCAACTACACGGTCTACTGTTGCTTACAGGCGTCTTTGTCTACCTTGTTCGTCGACATCTACGGCGTTTCTGGCTTGGTCGCTGGCCTAGTGTACATCCCTTTCGGTGTTGCAGTTGCCCTGAGCGCTTTTGCGACAGGGCGCTTACTCGATCTCAGCTACAAAAAGACGGCGGCACAAAACGGCATCAGCATAGTCGAAAGCAAGGAGACCGACTTGAAGGACTTCCCCATCGAATTTGCGAGGCTACGAAACGTCATCTGGAGCGTTGCGTTGAGCGCGTTACTCGTCATGGGTTACGGATGGACTCTTCAGGCACGAGTAACCATGGCCGTCCCGCTGGTTTTACAGTTCCTTATCGGTCTAACGATCCAAGGGGTATTTACCGCACTCAACACGCTTCTCGTCGACCTCCACCCAGACTGCCCCTCAACAGCACAAGCGGCTTGCAACTTTGTTCGCTGCGAGATGGCAGCCGCCTGCCTAGCCGCCCTCGATGCATCAATGACAAGTATTGGACCAGGATGGAGCTTTCTGCTTTTCGGGGCTACCCTCTTCCTTGAGTTTCTGATGTTGCTTCTCCTTCAGCTCAAAGGGCTGAAATGGCGGCACGCACGCCCACGCCCTGCTTAAATATCAGGGCTCAGGGTCGATGATCTCAATTTACGCTGAAGGCTACCTAGAAACAATTCAATCTGTATACACCACATTCGCAACCCAGCGACGAAGCCGCCTACAGTTCCTCGCGGTATTTGTTGATGAGGAAGTTCAGCTCGTTAAGAGCCCGGCTCCGCGTCACTGATCCAGGGTAATGGGCCGAGTTAATCAACAGCGTCTCAACAGAATACAGCCGGTTCCTGTCATCAAACTCCTCCACTGGCTCGCTGGGTTCAAAGTTTTTGAAGTATTCATCCCGGTAGTGGTCTTCGTGCATCTTGTGATGCTCGCATCTCCAAATGCCCACCTCCTTCTCGTGGTGGGCGTAGTATGCACAGGCGTCATAGATGTAGATCTCGCCCGTCTCCACGTTGGTTCCAATGTTGGACTCCCACAAGTCTCCGTGGATCAGCGACGGCTTGATGGACCTGCCCTCGGCGGTAAGGGGCTCAAGAAGTCGGGGAATCAGCTTTTCAAACGTGATTTGCATGGTATCGTCCAACTCCTGCCAGAAACCGTTCACCTCGACATCCAGGTTATACACGTCCTTCATCAAACGGGTGAAGAAGGACGTCCAGCTGCTATCCCATGTCGTCGTGAGCGGCAACTTGCCATCGAAGGTCGTGCAGTGGAAGCCGAATTTCCCCGTAGGTGACACGCTCTTCTGGTGAAGCTCGGCCAATTTCTCGCCTAACCGCGCAGGGTCCGGTAGCTCGTGGTCGATGGGCAAATAATCACAGACAAAAAAGTGCGCCTCCTCATCGTTGCACTTTCCATAGCCGCGGGGCTCGGGCGCGATGGTCGGCATCGTCTTGTAAATCTCGGACATGGCCATGTATTCGCCAAGGACTCGTTCGTCCGCATCGGCTGCTCTCAAGATCTGCCCCCCCAAACCGTGTTAGCCGTGCTTCAATCGCTTGTCTTAGGAACAGGATTCTACCTTGAGAAAGTATTTGTTTTTGGTTCCATCAGCGGCTTCGGTGTCTACTCGCGCGGTCGATGCCCAGCTCGATGTGCCATACTGCTCAACGGCAAGGATCTTGCTCTCCTTTGGGAGCACTTCAAAAAACAGTTCCCGGTTAACACCAGGGACTAACTAGTAGGACTCCGTCAACGCTTCACGTACCGTTGATGATCGCGGTGTCTAGCTTCGCAGCCATGTTTTTGTCTGGCTGTCGGTGTCAACTTAGCTAGCTGCGCACAAAAGGAAAATTCACGAGCCATCCACTTAGCTGACAATTGCCGGCAGTCTTACTCAAGACAACGGCTCCTTCCTGAGTCCGCAGAATTACGGACGAGGGAGGGAAGGGCCGTTAGATGACAGCTCGAGGAAGACATGACACTCGGCAGAGCCATCGTTAAGAAAATAATAGCGGGTAACTTACCGTTATTTCACGGTTTATATGGTTGAAGCAGCTGTATTTGATAGGCCGGGGCGGACTTTGTTGGTGGATAAGCGGGTGTGAGACTGTGAGACTCGGTGATGGACGAAGGAAAAAGAACTCAGCAGGTACAGAAGAATATGCTGAATCTCGGAGGTCTCTGAACTCATAAACCCCGGGAGGAGTCGAAGTAACCTGTGGGCGCTTCGGCAGCATTTGTGACAGGCTCGTTGGATTGTGGAATATGCAGGACAGGGGTGGTTGGGGGCGGGGTGAAGACCATCCTGCCGATCCCCCCTTGTTGGTCAGTGGCTCAGGGGGCACAAGGCTGGATTTTGACACCAGCGGCTGACGGAGTCCATTGCCGCGGATTCCCCGCCGGATCCTCCCGATTTCAATCCTCGACACATGAGCAGTCACACCACGCCGGTCTACTTGTAGCCAGTAGCGTCCTTCATGTGAAGGCAGCTCGCCTCCGACGGATTCATCATGGTAGCCGCGCCGTTCTCTTGGCCCCTTAACCGTTCGTGGACATTGCTGATGACAGCCTACCTCTAGTGGAAACGTTTCAGATCAAGCAGATCCGCCAGTTCGAATGACGTGCTGTCTCAGACGTCTTCCGCACCAACATACGTTGATGAACGATCAACCTCGGCTCCGGTAGAGCCACCACCAGCATCTGACCGGCCTCAAGAGCATTTGTTCCCCGACCGGACCCTCCGGGTGGACACCGATGCTCCTGCGCCAGCGCGGCGCGGGTCCGCACTCTCCGACATTCATGCTCAACTGTACTCCCCTCACCGGCGACAACGTTCGCAGGACCGCAGAGAAGATCCATTCGGGCTCGTCGTTCTACACAGTCCGCCAGAACGCACGATTGATGTAATTTTTATTCATGGTCTCGGAGGCACAAGCTTACGAACGTGGTGCCGCGATCGAGATGTCGATAACCTTTGGCCAAAGCTGTGGCTCCCAGTCGAGTTGCCGACTGCCCGGATTCTCACATTTGGTTACAACACGCATTTCTCGTCTAAAAAGGAGCAGGCCTCTTATACGATTGGTGATTTTGCCAACGACCTCCTGTTCCGCATGAAGTATGGCGAAAGTACAGCTGAACGGTTAGGTCAAGTGCCCATCGTTATCGTTGCACATTCCATGGGTGGTCTGGTTTTCAAGAAGGCCTTTGTGCAAGGACACCTGAGCGATGAATTCAGTGAGATTGTCTCCATGATCAAGGCCGTCTTGTTTCTAGCAACCCCCCACCGCGGGACCGATCTTGCTGAAACGCTAAACAAACTACTTTCGACTTCGGTCTTCGGCCACTCTCCCAAGGAGTACGTTACGCAGTTGGCGAGGAAAAGTCCGACAATTGATGAGTTGAACGACTCCTTCCGGCATCATGCCTCAAAGTTGCAAATATTCTCCTTTTACGAGACTCTCGCCACCACCACCGGCCCAGTCTCTCTCATGGTCGTTGACAAGCCAACCGCTGTCATGGGATATCCCAATGAGACGCCAACACCGCTCACCGCCAACCATCACAACGTCTGCAAATTCACCGGCCCCAATGACCCGAATTATATTTCGGTAGTCGGGGCACTTCGCAGCATTGCCGATTCACTTCTTACACCAGTCGATGATGTCGCTTCCAAGGAGGATCTACGGCACTTGGCGAGCCTTCTGGGCGTAACCGGGCCACCCGAAGAGGACCTCAGCTTTGGTACTTCTGCCAGAAAACAAGGCACTTGCGAGGGGTTCCTGGCTAGTGATGAGGTGATAAATTGGCGCAACTCAAAATCGCGGCGGGTATTGTGGACCCATGCACAACCGGGCGGTGGCAAGTCCACGCTGTGCTCCTTTGTCATTGAGCGTCTCCTTGAAGACGGCCACTACTGCTCATATTTTTTCTTCAAGCATGGCCAGCGTGCCAAGCAATCGACAAGCAACATGGTGCGCTCCCTGGCGTATCAGACTGCTCTTCAACTGCCCGAATTCCGCAAAGCCCTAGTCGGCCTCGCCGTGTCCGGGGTTAAGCTCTCCAGCGCAGACTCCTCTACGGTATGGGATAAGCTTTTTACCTCCATCTTCGCGAGCATCAAGACGGAACGGAACATCTTTTGGGCGTTTGATGGACTGGATGAAGCAGAATCAAGCAAACGCGTCATCGAACTTATCTCCCGCGTTGCCGATTTCAAGACGCCAATACGGGTCCTCGTCTTCAGCCGACCGCTCGCCAGTATTAACCAAGCTTTTCAACTAGCCAAGAAGAAGATGCAGATTATCGACATGCCCTTGCCAGACAATCGGAGCGATATTCGTCTTATGGTGACCCAAGAGATCGACTACCTCATGTCGGGTGACGATTTCAAAGCCGCAGCCGTTGATGAAATCGTCTCCCGGGCACAAGGCAATTTTCTTTGGGCTAGCCTTGTTATTCAACGTGTGGTAAACTGCCATCGGGAAGAGCAAGTCAAGCAAGTTCTCGAATCGACGCCAGATGGCATGCAAGAGCTTTACGATCGCATGGCAGATGCCATCTTCGACCTTGAACTGGACGAAGACAAGGCACTTGCAAAGGTCCTGCTCACCTGGGCTATGTACTCAAAGTCTCCGATCACTGTCGAAGAACTCCGGGAGATCTATCCTCAAGAGCTGAGCTCAATTATGGACCTGAATCACGCCGTCAGCCAAGTATGCGGGCAATTCGTTGCCGTCAATCCGCAGGGACGAGTAACGCTGGTCCACCATTCTGCTCGTCAGTATCTGAAAAAGACCAAACGACGCCTCTTCACACTAGACGCCGAGAGCCGTAATGAGGAGCTTTTTATCAAATGCCTCACAACACTTTGCGACAAGGGGTTGAGGCGCAAGCTTCAGATGCTTAAGATTCCCCGATTCCTCCTGTACGCATCTACCTCGTGGGCACTGCACCTCGAAAGCAGCTCCCCAGAATCTGATAACGTCCTCGACGCACTTGTAAGATTCTTTGGCGGTCCCTATCCACTGGCTTGGGTCCAATATTTGGCCATGAGCGGCCATCTTTCGGAGCTTTTCGGCGCCTCTAGAAGACTCACAGCGTACGTGAGAAAGCGTAAAAAGGCCGACTCGGACAAGTCGCCTATGCTCCATCGACTAACGCACCTGTCCCTGCTTGAGACATGGGCTGTCGACCTCATGAAGCTGGCGGCAAAGTTTGGCCGCCATCTTTCCGAGTCACCAGCCCCTGATCTATCAATGCATCCCCGCCTTGAGCCCAACTTCCTCCATCGTCTACCAAAAGTTCAATGGAAATCCCGCATCGACACTTTCGGTTTCCGGAATTTCAAACGAAGAATGGGATGACTGCCTTGCGCGCGTGTCAGGAGGATCTGGCAGGGCCCTTCGCTTTGCCGCTTCACCGCTATACCTCGCCGTGGTAAGTGACGAGCCCAGGGGAACCATCAACATCTGGGACACGAAGCTCTTCGAAGAGCACAAAACTTTCTTCTTGGGCGAGCACGTCTGGGAGCTGGCTTTCAACAACTCGGGCTCACTCCTAGCGTGTTATTCTCTGTCTAAAACATTCGTGTGGAAGGTATCAGATTGGTCGCCCCAAGTTTCGACCGAGAATCCGCGACAGGAGCGCGCCATCGACTTGAGATTTGATGAACAGGACGCCCTAATGATGATCTCAGAGCAAAGAAGGGTGTACACGCTCCGGACGCGCCAAACGGAAACATCACCTATGTGGGAACAGCTCGACCCGACATTGCTCGATGAGCCAGGGGTTCCCGAGGGCACGTTTCTTAGCACGCCGTCCTGCGTCGCATTTAACAACGACTGCACACAAATCGCTGTTGCCTATCGTTCATTCCCTCTTTCCATATGGACCGTCGATCCCCCCCAAATGGTCGCACGCCTCAGGAAAAAATCGAGACACGGGCACGGTTCCGCAAACTCGTACACGGGCGACAATAAGGTTGTCTGGCACCCTTCCGGGACCGAGGTTATCGGTATCTACGGCCAGATTTTCAAATGGAGCCCCGAAGATGACAGTTACGACGAGGTCAAGGACGAAGCCGGACTTGCTCCGCACGGGCTCGCATGCAGCCCGGACGGCCAGGTGTTCGTTACCATGGACGTTGGGGGCTCCATCAAGATCTTTGATGTCGCTTCCATGTCTCTCATTTATAAACTGAGCTCTGAGGATCGCATCAACCAAATCACTTTCAGCCCCGACAATCTCAGATTCTACGATCTCCGCGGGTCGTACTGTAACGTCTGGGAGCCGAACTGTCTATTAAGGCTTGGCGATTCAGCGGCTGAGCAACTTAGTGACACCGACAGCGCAATGCTATCTGACGACTTCTGGTCCGACACGGGCGATACTCTGAGCACTTCAATCTCCTTCCCAGCTTCCGAGAGCCACGCCGAGAGTAAGCCGGCAATAACGGCAGTTGAACCCGGCCAACTAGCATCCCGTGGGCTTTTGATCGCGCACGCAAACGAAGACGGTTCCATCAACATATACGACACCGTCGGAAAGAAGAAGAAGGAAATCGCCAAGACCATGTTCAAGATGAGGGTTGAGCACCTTGCTTGGAGCCCGAAGCAGGATCATCTGGCCTACTCGCTGACCAACGGGGCCACAACCGTCCGATCTGTGCGAATCGACTATACTGGCGAAAGGACGGTCGTGACCGAGCCTGTCTATATCGAAAAGAGATCTTCCGCGGAACGTGGGCGGTCCCGAGATCTTCTTTTCCACGGCACAGGGACTCGGCTCTTCATATGTGGGGTGAAGAAATGTCAGGTCCTCAGCATACCAGGGGGGAGGTCCTGGCCGACTGCCAGCTTCCAGACAACGATGAGCCGACCAAGTGGCAGCAACACCCCTCCGAGCTTGACAGCCTCATCTGCGTCTCCGCGAGCTCAGCGTCAATTTTCTCTTGGGATAACCTCGAGAAGCGAGCTTCCATCCCCTTTGAACTACCCCAATCCTCGGCCATACCCGACACCGACAACAACCCCCCAACCGCCACACTTCACACCATCCTTGATAGCCACTCCCTGCGCTACCTACTCCTACGCACAACAACCATGCACCACAACCGCCCCATCTACAACTTCACCGTCCTCCCCACCCAATCCATCTACTCCCACACCACCTCCCCAACCCCAGGAGACCAACCCACCTCCACCCCCCCTTCCAACCCCACCACCATCCAACCCCTCCCGCTACCCCCATCCCTCACCCGCACACTCTCCCACGCCCTGGGCATCCTCCCCGACAGCCGACTGGTATTCATCGACCGCCAGCTGTGGGTATGCACGACGACGCTCTCGCCGTCGGGGGGGCGCCGCCGCCGACGTCCGGCGCCACTTCTTCCTGCCCCACGACTGGGTCACGGCCGTAGGCCTGCGCATGTGCCGCGTCTTGCGGGACGGGACGGTGCTGTGCCCGTGTAAGGGCCAGGTGGCGGTGTTGAGGGGGGGGTTGGTGGGGGATTGTTAGGGGACGGGGGATGTGTAGGTACTGTGGGTGGGGAGCTGGGGGGCGGCTTGGGGGTGGTGGTGTGTAGAGGGGTAGTGCTAAAGGGGGTGGGAGGGGTGGAAGGGGTTGGATCGATAAGTTACGGTTGTTGATGCACTGAACAGGCGGTTGTATTTAAAAGAAACATGGTTTTAGAAGGTGCAAGTGTACTGTGTGCGTGATAGACATGAATTTGAGAACGGAAGGATAGCCTTCAATTTATCACCGCCGTCCCAAGTCTCGGATCGCCCAAACAACGGTTCAGGGGGGAGGGAGGATTGCCTAACCCTAACCCTCAGAAGTCGATCATGACGAATTCGGCGACATGCAGCAGCAGCCCAAAGTTCAGTTGTCACAACTTTGCTGTACTGAGCAAGAGGCAGGTGGGCGCCATTGACGCCCACACGGCCCAATTATTAGGCCGTTCCCCGCACCAAATAGCTGTGGAGAGCCTACAAGGTCAGAGAGGGCCCCCGATTCAAGGGTGGCCCCAGAGAGAGCAATCAATCACTCGTAACCAAGTGCCTACGAATCCAACAAGTTGCCAGCCCGCGAGCTCTGTGCGTACGGGGGCTCCTTTATAAAGAACAATTCCTGAAGACACTTTCGCCTTCGGGCACCAGCGTTGATTTTCAAGATCGGTAGAGCGCAGCGTTTTCTAGCGAAAGGCTCCCGTTCACCAGCGCTAACATTTTTTTTTTCTTTTTTTTCTTTTATATCCGCGTCTACAGTACAGAATAAGTTCTGCTCCGTTTTGTCGCTACCTACTTTTGTGGCCGCTGGTTTTCTGTCAACACAAACAAAACAGTCAGGTGAAGCCCCTGAACTGTGGCACAAACTCCATCCAGCCACACCTTGCCCAAGGCACAGTCTTGTCCGGAGGATAGCTCCACTGTCAATTTGTTCTTCATATACCTACCCCCCATATCGCCGGGTACGTGGCGAAGGAAAATGGCTATTACTTTCTCCCACTTAGTCGGCCGTGATTGACTTCACCGCACTGGTTCTGAGGAAATTCTAAAGCATTGCACTGGCGCCTGGGTTACTGGCTGACCGGATGCGGGCTCGCCGGAGCGTCACGGGTGCCATCAATTTCCCGGAGGTAGGTAATACGCACTACAACTCACACCACGGAAAAATAAGAAAGCGTGGAGCACCTCGAGGCTAACTGACAGAAAGTGGGCTCATTAGGTGCGCGACCGACGTAAACTTGAATCATACAGGGAGCGGCGTACCAAGGCCCATCTCTATGTCCAGCGGTGAAACATGACGATTTAAAAGAGATTCGGTCTGGGTAGCGTAGAATCTATGCCTTGTACAATCTACATAGATACAGTCTTGTAGGCTTATATACATCTTTCCTGAACATATACCCGGAATATCTAGGCACCCACACCCAGCATCCTCATAACCGCCCAATCGTAGTCTACGGACCGGCGGGCTCGACAGCCTGCGGGTAGTAGAAGAGATCGGTCGGATCGATCTGCTTCTTGATCTCCCTCAGGCGCGGCAGGCTCTGGCGGTAGTAGACGTCCTGGGCCTCGGTGCGGTTCATGCGCGGGTCGGCGTAGTTGACGTACATGCCCCAGTCCTTGCCGAGGCCCTGCGTGAAGTTGCCGACCCAGCCGTCGAGGAAGGAGAAGCCGTTGGCCGGGTAGTCGCCGAAGAAGGTGCGGTCGTACAGCTCGTACAGGAACAGGTTCTTCTTGGGGTCGCGGTACGCGTACGACCCGGCCGACTTGGGCACCTTGGTGATGGCCGAGTTGGGCCCCCCGTACAGGTCGATGATGATGAACCAGGACCGCGTGTTCAGCCGCGCCACCTTGGTCCAGTAGTCGGCCACGTTTTGGAGGACGTCCTTAGGGAGCGCGGGGGTGACCAGGCTCTTAGAGTAGAACGTCTCGACCTGTTTGTTCACCGGTATTAGTTTCCTACTGCGGAGTATTGATCTAAAAGACGGCCCATACCTGGGTGTACGGGCGGGTGATGTCAATCTCGGAGCTGTAAGCGTAGTTCTCGAACGCCCCCATCCAGTCTGTCTCCTTGACATCCGACAGGGTCACATTCATGGTCTCAAGGAGCGGCTTGATCGCGGCCCTCAGCGAAGTGGCGTTGCCGAAATACTGGCCTTGCAGCTGGGTCCCGGAGCGATCGCCGAGAACGCGCATGTTCATCTCCTCCGGCATGCCGCCAGCTCCGAGCCACTCCTGGATGTTGCTCCAGCCCTTCACGATTGCCGACGAGTTCGACCAGGGCAGCCGAATTTGGTACACGGTGACATTTGTCGGCGCGGCGAAGGTCTTGAACTGGAAGGACGTGACAATGCCAAAGTTGGATCCGGCACCCTTAAGGGCCCAGAAGATGTCCGGGTTCTCGGTTTCGGACGTGTTTACTGCAGTGCCGTTGGCGAGGACGACGCTCGCGCCGGAGATCCAGTCCACCGCCAGGCCGTGAGAGTGCGAGCTGAAGCCAAAACCACCGTGCAGCGAGTGCCCGCCCACACCCACGCTATGGTGATGAGGTTAGCATTAGAGACCAACGCAGCGAAACAGATTTCGTCCCCCGCGATAAACATAAACGTACCCAGGGCAGGTTCCGTGGCTGAAAGCCCTCTTGCCCTGCTCATAGATCAACGTCGCAACGTGGCCGAGACGTGCGCCAGGCTGGACCGTCGCAATCTGAGTCTCGGTATCGAGCGTGACATTGTTCATGCGGTCGAGTTGCACAACCAGATGGCCGTCCTCGCCGCCAAGGCCGAAGGACGCATAACTGTGCCCGCCCGACTTGGGGTTCACCTTGACGCCCGCCTCGGCAGCACACAGGACGGCAGCCTGGATTTGCTCGACCGTGGTCGGGACCGCGATGGCCGCGGGGAGGTAGGGCAGTCTCTGGTTGAAGGGGTTGACGTCGAGCTCCCAGTCTTCCGAATCCGGTTCGTCAACCGGGACCTTGGCGGCCTCGAGGCATTCGTTGAGGGCGGCCCTCTTGCACTTGGCATGCGGGGCGGCGGCGGCCAAGACGGCTGCCGTGGTAGAGAGGGCGAGTGTGAGCCGCATGTTGGTGATGTGCAGGCCGAGTAACGTAACCCTACTTTGGAAGCTGGTACGCTGCTTGGGCGAGCCCTGGGGAGCAGAGGGACTCGGGAACCTATTAACTTGGATGCCTTTATTAGGTTTCCTCGGCTCTGGGCCCCCACACGGAACATTCTACGCAATTATCCATGCGGCAATGCCACGCGGCTAGGACGTCGTCAGCCCAGGATCAAGTGTAACCCAAGACGACACTCAGCCGACGGTGCTGTCAACCGGACTGCCGATGTTCCTGGAAACGTGGTTTGAGATACAGGAGACAGAAATCCCGAACCAATCATTTTGACAACCAAGTGGGCCAATAAGTAATCCTCCACATCCTCCAAGCGAAACCGCGGAAGATCTGCGCCATCCTTCGAGGGGACCTGGTACTCGGAAGGACTTGGCGGCCCCGAACAGAAAACGATGAGCAAATCACTCAGGGGAGAGAGGGTGCAGAGTGGGTAATAAAATAATAAAGCCACCAGTGTTGAGGTCCAGGGAGAATTCAGACGCCTGTGCCATGTCCGTGCACACGACGAGTGGAAGGCGGCCCGGCCATATTCCTTCATGTTCATGGCACAGCAGTGCGTGGGGAGATCATACGAAGAATTACCAAATTCGTAGAGATTTCAGCTTCTCGGGCCCCAGGGGCATGCCGGGTATCCGAGCTCGGCCCGGTCCGTGGTAGTAATAGCTAGGGGCCATGGTCCATGCATCAAGTCTCAGTGCAGCGGAGGGCCTCCGGGTGTCAACAGCGTCAAGGAGCTTGCTTGTTAGGTTGATTCGGTGGGGTTGACGCGGAGGGACGATCAAGACGGACATTTCCCCCTCGGTCGGTTCATGCCGGTGGGCAACCCACAGAACTAGCAAGGGTGAAACAGCTGGGCAACCATCGTCCCGACGTAGTTTTCCCCGGAGGGTTCAAACCTCGTTGCCAAACAACTCTGCGCGTCAACCGTTGGACTTGCTGATCTTACTTCGGCACTTAGACGGCATGATGCAAGAAGCCATGCATCCGGCACTGACTTGCCTTCAACTTAAAACCGGGCGGTCTGCCGTGCCACGTTGGGAAACAGCGCTGTGAAGCACAGCAAGGAGGGTTGCATGGCTGGAAACATCAGGCCTTTCTTCACCAACTCGGACATGCCGTTGCGAATCTTCTGCATCTCTGCCCCTTTTTGGCAGACAATCAGCACGATCGCCGATCCCAGATCGAAAGAAAAACTTGACGGAAGCCTAAATGAGCAAACTCAACTGCCGTGAGCCAATTGTGGGTAAGATGGTCTTTATGTTTGACGCCACATCGCCCTAGAGAGCCACGGCTTCGGCATATTGACCTACCATTTGAAGGAATGCAAGCACAGGGTTGCCATGGCGGTCAGGCGAAGGCCACAAACAACACCATCCCCACGAAACGGCCTCGACTCCGGCGCTGTTGGTCGAACTTTTTTTCGGCTTGCATGGTCATGTCGGGTCATGTCTTTGATGTCGCGATGCAGCATACTTAAACTCGGGCAACTTTGATATGAGACAATTCCGTTTCTTATCACTCGCCAACTTCTGATCTTGATGTTCTCTGTCGACCCTTTCATGCCCCATCCACTCGTGTCGAAACAAGCTTCCAACTCCACAGCCTTCAGTCACTCAGCGCCGCTCCGTCAATTTGATTGATACCCGAAAACATCTTGCAGATCACCAGGATACATGTACTCGGTACTCAATACAGGCTGTTCACTGTACGTACGTTCTTAAGTGAGACAGCTGGTGGAGCCCAATTTCACACGGACAGATCCCAAGTGCCCACTAGTGGTGCGGATAATCTTGTACCTGTCGACGTCATGCCATTGAGTTGAGCTGTAGTGAAGTTCGATACAATCAGGTACGTACGAGGCCGGCTCAGTCTGGCCGCTTACGGTCCGCCCTAACGTAACCTAGAACATCCAACGCCCACCCCAAACACCACAGGAGTGATGGGACTCCTCGACCTCCGCCAGGAACCCAATCCCACGCCATCATCCCCGGGCCTCCCCGCAAACGGTGAATTTGACCCAGACGATTACTGCGCCCGCCGCCTCGCGGGGCTCGAGACCGGCCCGGCGCCCACCATCGGACCCGGCACCGCAGCCTCCATCTGGGCCCTCTTCGCGCTCGCCACCGCCTTCATCGTCCTGCGCATCTACTGCAAGATATGGCAGTCGCGCGGGATCTGGTGGGATGACCTGGTCCTGATCATCAGCTGGGGTATGTCCCCCCCTTTATGTCCCTCACCGTATCAACAACCACCCCACCTCATCAAGTTTCACCCCCCAGCCCCCCTCCCAAAACCAAAACCCAAAACTAACCCCCCTCCCCCCTCCCCCACCAGACCATGTTCCTCGCCTCCAGCACACTCTGCCAACTCGTGATCAACCTCGGCTTCGGGCACTTCCCCTGCGACATCCCCACCTCCCACCACCCCCTCATCGCCTTCCGCGGCGGCGGGCTAGGTTCCACCTTCACGGTGCTCGCCATCGTATGGAGCAAGACGGCCTTCGGCATCACCCTGCTGCGGCTGACGCGCGACCGGCTGCGGTGGGCGCTGGCGGCCGTCGTGGTGGCGATGAACGTGACCATGGGGCTGCAGGCGGTTTTTGTGTGGGTGCGTTGTCAGCCAGTGGAGAAGAATTGGCGGCCGGGGGTGGTGGGGACGTGTTGGGAGTTGGGGGTGAGTAACGGGTATGCGGTGTTTTCGGCCGTGTTGTCCGGGGTGTGTGATGTGGTGTTTGCGTTGTTGCCGTGGTTTTTGGTGTGGCGGTTGAGGATGCGGAAGAAGGAGAAGGTGGGGGTCGTGGTGGCGATGAGTATGGGGGTTTTGTGAGTCCTCCTCGTGTTTCTCATGTGGACTCTTGGCTAACAAGTGTGGTTTGCAGTGCCGGGATAACTTCATTTGTCAAGTCGGGACATATTCGCGAAATGGGATCCAAGAACTTTACTCGTGAGTTGTCCCATCTTCGTTCTTTGCATAGGTACCTTACGTATTCAAACGTGTTCTAATGGTCTCCCCCCGAAGATGACGGTTGCTACTTGCTAGCCTTGGCCACAGCCGAGATTGCCACAACCATAATGGCATCCTGTATCCCGGTTCTGCGCGTCCTCTTCCGCGACCTGCGGGACGCCACGCCTACCGAGATCAGCGGAACCTTCGGGCTAGAGAACTACCACTATCCCAAGTCTGACAGCACCGGCGTGACGGCGAAACAGGCTGCCCATGACCCGGTTGTGGTTGAGGCAGCCGCCCCTGCCGAAAACGGGCATGACGACAACACACAAGCCCCAAACCAGTCCGACTTGAGACGTAGTCAGACGGCCCCCAAGACCTGGAGAGCTGTGTGGGACGTTGGGAAAAGTGCCAGGCCACGAGCTAGGTCTCCGACAGGGGGCTCGGGAACGCCGACAGATAACGCCGCCCCGGCACCACCCGATATTCAACCCGACAACAGCAGTCAGAGGGTATTAGTGTGTGTCTCGGGCCGGAGTACACCGCCCGAGGGAGGGGCAACAGAAGGGATGATTGTGCAGACGCAAGAGATTGAGATCAAGTACGAAGGAAGAAGGCCCCGGAGTGGAAGTTCAGTGGGTTGAGATGGGCAGAATTGACGTTGGGGGGGCGGTGTGATGTTGTCAGACGCCAATAGGGGTATCTTCGGTGTTTTGACAGCAGATGCCTACCTGCCTACATAAGGTACCCAGTGGGTTGTTGTGGTGTGCGTTATGAATTTGGATGAAATATGCAAGACAGAAAATTTGCTGGCTCACGCTTTGTAAATTTATTGATAGTAATCATGAAAATGAGAATAGAGCAGCGGGCTTGGCTCGATTCCACTGATGTAAGAAGGCCTCTCCAATCCCTTCGTCGATTAACCCCAAGTATGTCCATCTAATATGGTTCTCAGCTCTGTCTCTGTCCAGCCTGCTGCTGTCCCTTGCTGCCGGCGTCCGTATTATCCTTGGCCTCTTGTTGCTTCTTTGCTGCTCTATCCTTGGCCATTTGTTTTCTACGACCTGTCAGCTCCTCAATGTAAAGAGACAAAAAAGAATTAATCGGCCCACTCTTTCTCTCTGATCCATTGGTCCTCAAGCGCCTTTCCACGATCCGAGAGGGGGTTGGGGTTCATCTTGAACCTTCAAGTGACAGGAACGGTGAAAGTTAGCGGGTGATAAGTTGAGGATGCCAACAGTGGGTTTGTTGTGAAAGTCAACTTGATAAGTGAATTGTTGAATTCCAGTCAAGAGCTTGCTTGAGTACATGTAGGTGGGTTGGAGTTTGGGCACAAACTCGGAATGAACTAGCCGGGCATTCGGATGAAAGTGAGGGGGTCCAAATGATGTCATCGCTTTAGGGGTCTCCTTCACTAACTATTGGGAGAATACTTAGGTACCTAATAACCCCTTGAGACCCATGTGATATTCTCCAAGCTTCCCAACCACCATGGACCTTTTTGGCCTGGCACGAACCTGAGTACCATTGCCCGGCTCAACTTGCCCTACAGAAACTCGCCACGGAGATCGCTCAAGTGGCCAAGAAACAAGGAAATCAAGCTAGGACCTATCTTGATCACCTAGGTACCTACCTATCTGATAGGTAGGTACCTAGGTACGTTTGTATCTATATACAGACGCTACCCTTGCGAAAGGGTGAAAACGAAATTGGTATACAGATAGCGTCAAACCGGGCGGCGGAACATGTCCTCGTTGTCTTTCATAGAACGAAACTGTCTAGACTTCCTTACATAGGGTAGCCACGCTTATGTGTTATTTGACGTCCAGATTTCACACTTTGGTTGCGCTGCGAGGAGTACTTTTCAAAGTCTCAAAAACTGACCCGGCTCCAGGGAAGCTCCCTCGCCAGTATTTCTCAATAACGGCCCCAACCGCCCCGAGGGATGTTGTTTCCGGAAAATGCTGCTTTAGGTACCGAGCACGGATTTCCGTGTCCTCCAGCTCTTTGTAAGGGGGGTTGCCGGTTGTGATCATCTCATAGAGCACGCAGCCGAGGGCGAAAAGATCAGCTCGGATGGACGACAGAGGCCCTGGGAATTCGTGGCTCTCGGTAACGACGACCAGCATCGGGGAGCCATCTATCGATGATCCGGCAAAGTCGGCCACTCTGGCGTCGAGGTTGGCATCCAGGAAAATGTTTGCGCAGGTCAGGTCACCGTGGATGATACCAGCGTCATGGATCAATCCGATTGTTTCGGCAACCTGGATAGCCCAGCGCAGCCGTTGTTCAGAACTGACTTGGTTTCCTCCAAGGTGCAATCGTAGGTTGTGGTTCAGGGCGTACTCTAGGCGAATGCCAGACTCGAAGACGCCGTGGTATGAGAGGAGACCACGATGACCACCGCGTTCTTTAAACCCTGGCCAATCGACATTGCCATCGCGTGGATCGGGAAATACAATTTCCGCTGTTCAGACCTGCTTGTTCCAGCCGTTGTCGAGGAACTTCGAACTCTGGTGGGCATACCTTATGTATCGACCAAACTTGACGGCGCCGAGGTCGTGTGGAAGGTAGCCATAGGTAATTCCTGTGTAGTCCATTTAAAGACAGATGAAATTAGACATGCAATTATTAACAGGTAAGTCATGATTCGTAAGATGCCCTCCTCCATGTCAGCGCCCTGCCGAGCCGAGATCCCTTCTCTGAACAGATGCATTCTTCTCCAACGAGCTCCCCGATTCCCCTTCGTCCGGCACTCGGGGAGAAAGACCATGAACGAGCGAGTTCCACTGCCGCATCTGGTTCTCAACATGCGTCCCGTTGGTAAGCTCGTCAAGGAAACTGTCGGGCGACATGTCACTGCTGCTGCTGGTGGACCGCAGCACACCCCACGACTGCAGCAAGCCATGCACAGGCGCCTTGAGCGTTGGGAGGGAGGTCGCCAACACGCCGATGGTTAGTTCCATACCCCAGAGGAAGTCCTGCAAGGCGTTGATCCTGGCTGTTCCCTTGCCGAGATAGCCCATGATCAAGAATAAACGCGCGACGGCGATGCCGGTGGCGCCCATCCCCGCGGTCATGAGGCAGCCAATGAGAAATTTCTCGTAGAACGGTCGGCGGAGGTTGCGGATGAAGGTGATGGGGAGGATTGAGATGGTGAAGTCGGACGCTATTGTGAAGGCTAGTGATAGGGGGTGAGCCCGGGTCGAAACGATAAAAGATGGTAACTAGACTTACCGCTGTAGACATAACCATAGATCATAAAGTTTGGCACAGGGATACACTTTGCTGTTGGTGTCGGCGCCCACCGAGCCGAGATGGGTTGGCACATGACGAGGTGCATGGTGGTGCCCACGACAAGCATGCACGCTTGGATGGTGATGACAGTCCCGAGCGCCAGCTTCCACGGCAGGGAGTCCTTGAGCCGGAGAAGCAGCAAGGCGGCGGAGATACGGATCACATTGAGCCCCCACACCCAGAGCACTCCGTCTGCCACGATCAATGGGCCCATAGTCCAAGGGTCTGGGACAAAGCCCTCGATGCCCCGGCCGTAATGGTACATTGCCACGTCAATCCCATACCAGGCAATAGTGAGGACCTGCCAAGATGTGTTAGCCACATATATCGATTCCACAACGGGAACCTTTCTTGACCAAGCTTGTCCTCGAACCCAAGACGGAACCAGCAAGCGCTGCAAGGCTTAGCTTCGGGGAGGGGTGGGTCTTACCAGAGCAAAAACGAGCGTGTAGTCATCAGCGCCAATCCGCCAGGTTGGCTTAATCCTCCAGTAGATGCGGAGCCCCGTCGTGATGCATGCGATGCCCAGGAATGTGCCAACGGGGGCGAGCGGGTACGCTTCAAAAACGGTACCAGCGGGGACGTCTGGGTCTGGCGGAGGTCCTTGAGAGGCCATGATTGTCCCGTGGCCTCAGCGGCCGGCTTGCTAGATCCGACCGTGTGGTTTTCGACAGGATGCGTAACCGGAGCGTCAAATCGACCGAGGGAACCGTCGGTACCTAGTTAGCGAATGCCGAAAATCTGGTCATGGAGAGATTCGAGCTTGAGTGGGGATCCCGGATTCACATGGCGAGGCGTGTATTCATAGAGAAGAACACGGACTCAACCAACTGCATCGCATCGGACCGGTGAAGAAGGTCTAGGCCTGTGTCTCTACTCGAAAGGGTGTGCAATCTCGCTCGGATGCGGCTGATGTGGCGAACCGCAGAACCGAGCAGCCCTCTCTCCACACTGCCTGCTTACCCGGTAGCCAACAGATCTGCTGAAGTTCCATATTATCCAGTCCCCCCCAGCTGTCCCTCCAGAGCAACCCTGCCGCCCTGTGTTCTCAGCTGCATGGCAACGATTCGGGACAAACTTTCCCCAGAATTTCAAGGCAACATCGTCATTCTCATGGCCCCCAGTTGCTCTGTTGAAAGTTCTCTCGCTTGCCGAGGCGGAATCTTCAAAGCTCGACATGGGGCGGCAGGGGGAACGAGCGCAAGGGGCGGGAAGTGGAGGGTGAAGGATGGTCATCATTGGTCCGCTTCCAAGTCAACGCACCAACGCCGGGTTCGTCCTCCTCAAACCCCGCTCCGCGGAATCGAGGTTGTTGCATCCGTCAGCACGTTTTTGTGATTCTGGTCTTCGCGGGATACAAGGTCGCTGGGATTGCAACGCCGCTATCGACGAGGCCTGTCTCGTTTCGCGATGAACAAGGGAGGCATCAACCAACAGCCAACAGGGGGGGTCGGGGTATAATTCACGGATGTCCCCCCACGGCAGTGAACGCGTGGGAGCATGGTAATTTGAACCGTGGCTTTGCTTTCTCAGATCGTGATTCCATCGCGGGGTTGTGCGCAAAAAAACAAAACACCTTCCCCATTGTTGACTTCTTCGCACTCCTCCGAGACATTCCCCCCCAATCAACACCCAGAATGCGAACATCCCTGACAACGCTGTTCCTCTGGGGCGCAGGCTCGGTTGCCTCGGTTGTGTGTGCCAAGAGCTGCTCGTACGGGGATGATCCTCAAATCATCGCCCATACGGGCGAGCCAGTGGGGACCGAGAAGATGTACAACGGAGGTCAGATTCTACCGTGCTTCCTTGCCGAGTCGGGAAGAGCCGAAGCAGCGCGCTAACACGGGCTGCTGTCTTCCACAGTGAATCTCTACATCTCCAAGCCGTCGTGTAAGAGCCCAAAAGTGGGTGTCTTGTATCTCACAGATGTCTTTGGCATCCAATTGGCCCAGAACAAGCTGTAAGTACCAAGTGTGAACGAACAAGCACGTTGGGACGCCATGGGTGCCACCGTCAAGCCTTGTTATAGGAGTATCAACCGGAGAAAACAGTGACTAAGCATCATCATCATCCTCACAGCCTAGCGGACTCGTTCGCCCGAGCGGGTTTCTTGGTCGTTGCGCCAGACATGTTCGACGGCGAGCCGGCCCCCTTGGACTTTGACACCCCCGGCTTCAACGCGACTGAGTTCACGCTCAAGCACGGGCCCAACGCGACGGATCCCATCCTCGCCAAGGCAGTGGCTTACCTCAAGACGACCGGCGTGGAGAAGATCGCGGCGACCGGTTACTGCTACGGCGGTCGGTACACTTTCCGCGTGCTCGCTGCTGGCGGCGTTGACGTGGGCTTTGCTGCCCACCCGAGTCTGCTGGAGGATCCTGAGATTTTGGCTATCACGGGTCCGATCAGTGTTGCTGCCGCTGGTAAGACTTTTATTCGCCGTTTACCCTCTGAATTGTCAATTCTATGGGTTCTCTTGTTAACAATCCCTCCCTTTAGAAACCGACGTGATGATGCCGCCCGAGAGGCGCCCCGAGATGGAGGCTCTGTTGCTTACCGCCGCTCAGCCGTACCAATTCACCCTGTATGGTGGCACCTCTCACGGGTTTGGTGTACGAGGGAATGTTTCCGATCCCCAGCAGAAGTTTGGCAAGGAGGGCGCTTTTTACCAGCGGTTAGGTGGTTTGATGCTTGGGCTGGTGGCGCGCTGTAAGGGGCTTTAGTTTAGACTTGGGGTAGAGTAGACCGTTTTCATTTTCTTTAAAGCGATCTGAACTAGTTATTGATTTCACTGGCAGTTGAACGCACTTTTGATAGCCATTATCGTACCACATTCCCAAACTTAACAATCAAGCATACCCTCGCGCATACATAAATCCACAAG